TGGGGGCACCAAGACTGCAGAGATGCTGCCAGCCCCGCTCCGTGCACAGCCTTTTCCTCCCCATTCACTGCGAGAGCCGACTTGTTTACTCATCCCTCCCTCCACCGTACCACTGAAATAGAAGCTTTGCCTTCTAAGTGATTGAAAAAGCATTAATTGTGCTTTTTCTACCCCTCCTCTTTAAAACAATCCGTCAACATGTCTATGGCAATAGGACTGCAGCAAGCCGGGTCTCCCCTCACTGCCCCAGCCCCAGAAAACCAGCCAGTGCTGGCTGCCAGCTCCTGACTGTGCTCACCTCTCGGTGATTTCAGAAATTCTCAGTGATTTCAGAAGTTAAGCAGAAAGGGGTACCACCTTAGTGTCCAAAGCCATTTTGTCAGGCCTTGGGCAAGCCGGAGGCCCTGTGGTTTGTCTCACCGAGCTTGGTGGGTGGCTGTGTGGCTCTGAGCAAACCCTTTGGAGAAGTGGTTTTTGCAGCAGCAGTGGGCACGATGCCAGCCATAAGAAAGGGAACTGCACTTTTGACATCCTTACCCAGCCAAAAAGATGGGCTGTGTGCCTCCATACATTCATTTTGCTGTGTCTGGGGTGCAGCTCCCCTCCCTGTGCTGCAAAGCATCACCTGGATGCTATTTAACCCCAGGGGGAAGGCAAAACCCAGGGTGACTTGCTCCTGGAGTGTCTCCAGAGAAGCACAGGTTATTACTAGAATTGCAAGAGAAAATCAGCTGGATCAGCTTAGCTACAGTTTATTTCCACTGGGCACTTGCCACCAGCAGGGCCTGGGCCAAAACTCGTGTGTTTTGGCTGAAGATGCTCACACCATGCAGCATCCCACTCAAGTAGCATGGGCTGCGGGACATGCTGTGGCTGCAGCAAAGATGATGAGAAATAAATAACAATGTGCTGCCCAGACAAGTGCTGCCAGCACTCATGCAAACTGTTTTGTCTTTGGCAGGTGCCCATGAGCTCGTCAGGATGGAGAGGTGAGGAAACCCATTCGCTTCCAGCTCCCCCCAACCTCCTCGCACCCCCTCTGCCTGCACCCAGGACCCTGTAAGGGTCTTGCCCTCTCCTCCCCTCCCCTTAAATCTGGCATGTATCCTCACCTGGCAGAGCGAAGGGGATGCTGGTGACACCCACGCCTGGTGTCCTGTCCCTTTCCTAGCAGCCGCTGTTTCTCTTCCCTCCCTCCAAGTGGGAAGCTGCTCCTTTCTTTTCACCTGTGCCAAGGGCACGTGTCTCCCATGCCGCAAGAGAGCTCGAAACCATGGTGCCTTTCGGCTAACCTTCCCCCCCTGCACTGGGCTCCCCGCTTGCTCTCAGCCGAGGTTCCACCACCTCAACCTGCTCCCTGTCCTGTTTGGTTGTTCCCAGCCCTCAACCAAAATCCCATGGATAAAAAAGGCTCCTGAAATAAACTTATGCCCTCACACCCTTCTCCTCTCCCACAGCAGCACCCAAGGCATCGAAAACCCCGTCTTCGAGGCGGTCCCCTCGGTTAGTGCGGAGCCGCGGCCCCGTTCCCAGCTCTCCTTCATGGCCAGCCGCCTGCCCTCCGAGTCCGGCCGGCTCCTCCTCTCTGAACCCCTTGTCCCCTCCCGGCCCCGGGGACTCCTTCTTCCCCACGCTGGGTGAGTGACTGGTGATGCTGAACCCCCATGGGGACTGCTGCAGGAGGGGTGGGAAGGAAAGGGGCAGCCGGGGGGGTGAACAGGAAAGGGGGGGTTTAAATATTGGCTGCAAACTTTGCATTATGTGGGACATCAAATCCCAGGGCTTTGAAGATGGGAAGGACCAGCAGCCTCTGTTTTCCATGCAAAAACAAGAGTTTGGCCATTTCCCAAAATATGTCCCTGCAGCTGCAAGCTGGACTAATATCCCTGGTCTGCCCTTTTCCAGATCCTGTTCCAGACTCACCAAATTCCTTGAAAGCCTAAAGACCCTGGAGGAAACCACATCCCCTAGCCGCAGCGGGGAGAGGCCAGGATATGAGATGCCATCTGTCACCGTGCCATGCTTGCCCAGCTGAGCCCCCCCGGGGAGGGCAGCGCGGCTGCGGGCAGCAGGAGGGAGCGCCAGAGCCCTGCCTTCGCCTTCTGGCCTGGCTCTGCCCTGGGGCTGGAAGTCAACATTTCTGTCTGGATTTTGGATTTTATTACCTATTTCTATGGAGAATAAATTTTACAGACTAGCTGGAAATTGGGGATATAGGGGAGGAAGCACAACCCGCACCTGCACACCTCCCTGAGGATTTAACTTATTGCCATGGGTTTAAGCTCAACATCAACCTTTTTCTGCATCTTTGACTGAACATCCTCTCCGGGAGTGGATGGTAAAGTACTTTATCCACCGTGAGACAAAACAGAGTCACCAGCCAACCCTGTACTACCTTTTTCTTTGCAAAACAGGAAGGGGAGAGGCTCCCTGCCACCGACGGAGCCCTCCTTCCCCACCAGCCTTTTGAGACGGCCACGGACTTGCGAGGCTGCCGCATTCTCAGCTGGACATATATCGGGAGGAGCCTTATTTCTGCTGTAATTTTATCCTTGGCTTGGGATCAGCGGAATTTATCTTTCTGTTTGTTTCATTATGAGTGCTGATTAAAAGAGAAAAAGGATGTTTATGTTTTTTGCTTCGTTTTTTTTTTTTTTTTTTTTTTTTTTAAAATGCCTGTGAATCAGAAAGTTCATCTGGAGGCTGTTGGAGAATGTTCCCGTGAAGTGGCTGAGAGCCCCCGTGGAGAGGCGGAGGCATGGGAGCAAGCAGTGGGCGGTGGGAAACGCTCTGGCTGGCTTTCACCCACCTTCCTGGGGCCAGTACAGCCCCAGCATCTGTCCCCAGGGGTCTGCCTTCAGCCACACCAGAGGACCCTGCGATGCCCCAGGCGACACAGGTGCCCTCACAACATCCTTTGACCGAACACAGCACCCCAGCATTGCTTATCCAAAAGAAGCCATGGGCCAGGCTCCAGCATGGCTCAGCCCTGGTAAAGGGATACAACCTAGTGCTAGACACTGTTACTCAAAGGGTGTGTTTGTATTTTTTTCTCTTGCTTCTGTTTTTTGTTGTAAAGTGGGGAAAAAATTGCCCTAACCCTAACCCTAAACAAACATAAACATTAGTCATATCAAAAGAGTGTCAGGCCTGAGCAATAGCTGTACTAGGCAGCATGCCCAGCAGAGCATCCCCACCAGCACGCCCGATTCTCACACTACGTGGCTGGAAGAAACAGCCTTTGCCTCTGCAATGGGCACTGTGCAATGGGACACCCAAGTCCGCTGCTGGATTTGATTAATCTGGCCTTGGCTTCAGCAAGGGCAAATGAAAGATGGCCTGGCCACGGGCAGAGGGCTAAAGGGGAAGCCAGCACCAATGCCCCATGGCGGATGTTACTTCCTGAGCACGGGACTCAGGCTTTGCACCCATGTCTCAGCCCCTCTCCCGGTTTTGCTGGGGAAGCTCGCCCAGTGCCTCCAGTGCTTCCCTCTCCTTGTCCCAGCACCCACAGCTGGAAAGGCACACGGGGGATTTGCCTGTCCATGGGTCCTAACTGCTTTGAAAGCTCTCCAAGTCCCTCTGTTTGGTACCGTTTAATGACAGAATAAAGTTTTGTTGGAAACAGGTTTCTCTCTGTGCTGCAGGAATCCCATTTTTCAGGGTGCCCTGTGCTGCAGGTATAGGTGAGCTGAGCAGCCACCTTCTCTGCCAGAACCACTTGTGTTTTGGGGCACTGTGTGGTATCAGGGACTGTTTCCCAGACAGAAAGTTCACCAGAAGGAAAACTAAAGACTTTTAGGAGAAAGAGAAGGTGGCTATACAGCCTTCCACACATGCTGGAGCCGGAGCTCTGGCATGCTGGGTGCTGGCACCCCACCTCGTCCCCCATCACTGGCACAGCACTATACCTTTGGGCAGGATGCTTAGGGTGAAGGTGACCCAGCAAGATGCTCATGCCCTCAGGGAACTTGCTGGGTCCCACCAGCTCTTGCAAGTGCCTGGCTTGGGAACGCACGTCAAGCTAGTGTCCTGCTGACGGCTGTTTTCTGCTGCATCAGCACTCAGGGCTTTGCTCATGGGGAGAGCGAGGAGCCGCGGCGCTCTGCCTGAACTCTTGTTTCCGACCGGTTGAATGGAACAGAAAGTGCAGAGGCTGAAGTAGCCCTGGCTGGGGGTGGCTGCGTGATCGGCCAATCCACCCTGCCTTGCTGCAGTCGCTGCTGCCCGGGTCTGCGGGTGCCAGGAGGAGCCCTGCTCCTGCTGTAGCTCCCGTGGGCAGGCATCCTTCCTTCTGCTGCGGGAAGTGTCCCAAAGACTCCGGAGCAGGACCAGCCCTTGGGCACGTGCAGTTGCAGGCTTGCACCAGGGCAGAGGTAGCCCAAGTGATCCCTGCAATTCCCATGCAAGGACACCAAGACTTTCCAGTTGCAGCTCACCAGCTTATGAAGGTTTTCTTTTCTGCAATCATTTTTTTGGGTAAACGCTTTCCTTGTCTCAACAGTGTTTTACCCTTTTGGCCCTGCATTTCCAGCTCCCGAGAGGGCAGCCAGTTTCCGTGCATCCTTGCTGTCCTGGGTATCACAGATCACCACGGGACTTCCAGGTTCTCTCCCATCTCTGTCTCCTCTCCCTCTCCCATACTCAAGAAGGCCAAATCTTGATGCATGTAAAGGGAGATATGAATTACAAACAATAATCCTCTTCTGTGAATCATTGCATCAGCCTAGGCTTACTTGTGAAATCAAAGTTTCTGGTGGGTGACAAACTCCTGACAGTCATTATTTCATCACCCAGGCACCAGGCCAGCAGTTACTGAGTGACACACAGGACAACATTTCACAGGACCTAAGTGTCCTCATGCTCCAGAAAGGGCCAAAAACTCTTCTGTCCGCTCAGGAACCAGGTCACTGGATGCTTTGCTTCATTTCAGTGTGGCAGGATTTTGATGATCACTGCTGGCCCAACTTGTGCCGGTGACATGGTGGTCATTCAGCAGGAAAGTGATGCTGCTGGGACACCGCTTTGGCAGCCTGAAGCGACAAGTTGTGTCACTTGTCCTCTCTGGCAGCAGGAAGGGAAGAGGACATTGCCATGGCAGTGGGATTGCCAGCTCAGTGCACGGCATTCTTCACCAGGGTGGCATCAGCGATGCTCCCAGGGTGCTGGGGCGGTGGGGACAAGGACGAGCTGGTGGTATCGGGTCCTGCAGTTACATGAAGATGCCTTCTTCCATTTTGGGAGAAAGAAACTCATCTAGATTTAAGCTGCAGAGGCACCATGGCTTAAGAAAAAGCTGGTGATGCACAAGCAGGTGTGTGAACTACCCAGGATGGAGAGGTCGAGAGCACAAAGCCCAAAGCGAGAGTTGCAAGCCGCAGTTTGCACTGCTGGTTGCAACCTGCTTCCTCAAAATGTAGAGCAGGGCTTTGCAGTGAGAGCTGTGCTGGAAGATCAGAGAGATGGCGAGAGATAGAAGGTGGAGGTGGGGGAGAGGAAGGATGGCAGGGTGTCGCTCAGGGTGTCACACCTCCCTGACGCACAGTGTAGGCTTGCTCTGTGCATGCAGGCGCTTGCTCACCGCCTCGCAGAGCCGTGGGGTTAGGAAGGGACTCAGGGCTGGAAAACGCACCAAATGCTATTTGCTCTTTCGACTGTCCCACGCCAGACTCCTCCTTAAAGGCACAAATAATGAGACTTGCTATTCACAGAGCAGGCAAGGTGCCTGCTGGACACTCTGACATGCTGGCAGCTAAAAAGCAAGGTGGCACCTCCCCAGACCAAAGGACGATGGGTGGGGTCTTGTATCAGCCACCAGACACCTGCCCAGACCCCACTCACTGTGGGCAGGGCACTCTGAACAGCAGCAACGCGACTAATGAGCTACCCAAATCTTGCACAACAGGTACCACCACAGCTGTAGCACTAATTACCAGAGCTCATGTCATTTGCAAGCATCAGAGCAGACACACATTGGTTCACAGTGAGCTGAACCATGGTTCAGCTGCTGCTCCAGCCACTCACTGCCCTAAAACATAGGAGAGCAACATCTTGAGACCTTTCAGGAGGAGCCGGTGGGCAGGACAACTCCTGCAGCTGCCAGCACACTTGCCCATGCGATGCTCTTGATATTTTTGGCATTTACAGATGGGAGATGGCAGCTCCCTGAATGACTGCAAGAGAGGGTCCCTCAGGACCCGGCACCGAAGGAGGATCTGAAGCAAACCTATGCTCAACAGATTTGGACCCTGAGTCATAACCCAAATGGCCACACACACTGTGCCTGTTTCAATGCCCAACATCTCAATGCAAAGCTCACTCCTTCAGCGCTGCCCAGTTCCATCCTCTCCCCAAAAAAGCACATTTTGGTGGCTTACCGACAAGGAGGGGTTGCCCTCATCCTCAACGGTGACCACCAGGCTGTAGAAGCTCTGCCGCTCGCGGTCAGGTGGGGAGGGCCGGGTGGCAATCTCGCCGGTGACGCGGTCCATGCGGAAGGTCAGATCCTCGTTCCCGCGGGTGATGTAATAGGAGAGGATGCTGTTGAGGCCGATGTCCTGGTCGGTGGCATGGACCTGGGCCACCGCCGTGCCACCACCGACATTCTGCAGGGAGAGATGGCAGTATGAGCAGCAGAGATACATGAGAGAGATCACATGTGCCTCATAACATATAAAATACATAATTAATAACATTAATAATAGATTTCTAATATAGAGCGGGGTTTTTCCTGGCATTGTGGTGTTTGAGGCTACAAACTTGATGCCCCAACACCCAGCAGCCAAGCAGGAGGTGGCTCCTGGATGCCATTTTTTCAGTGCTTATTACAGATGATGTTTTATTAATAGATGCAATTTTGTGCAAAAAAATAACCAAAGCTACTCGCCCTGCTGCTGATAGCTCAGCTGAGAATCAGCCACGGGCTTAGCAATGGAAGGCTCTG